AAAGGAAGATTTCCGGCAACTCCTGTGATCTCCGTGGCAAGCTCCTCGAAACCAACGTATGGGGACTTTTGATCAAAAGCAGATAGGCAGAAAATTTCAAGAGCTTCAGATGAACATGGAAAGTCCACGTGGTATATATGTTTGATTCCATGTTCTTTCAAAAGTTTCTTATCATTTGTTGTAATGATAATCCTGCTTCCGCAGCCAAACCCTTTAGTTTTGCCAGCCATAGATTTTAGCTTCCATACGCCATCTAAACCATCGATAACCACAAGCACTTTCTCATGTTCCAGCCTAACGTTCGCCACACCCAAGTAACGTATCTTCAAATCCGTGTGGTTGAAGGGATTAGAGACAAGTCGTTCTTGTAAATGCAACATGAATGCATGATCATCCCTGTATATATTCCCACCTCTACCTCTTGTACTTTCCAAAAACGCAGTGTATGTAAAGTCCTTAGAGAGTTTCTTATATAAGGCTCGGGCGATGGTCGTTTTCCCAATTCCCGCAGGACCCCAGATTCCAACCATCCTCACCTCATCTGAATCTAATGACAACAGTGAACTTATCTGCTTGATATGATTCTCCATCCCAACTAATCCATCAAAATCCCTTGACGGTGCAGCCTTATTTAACATGTTTGAAACATTGTTAGCAACATATTCCACCATTTCCTCTTCATTTTGCCTAACAAGGGAGAAATTAAAACATCTTAAAACATATATATATATATATATATATATATATATATATATATTGACAAACATTTGCTAACTATTATCTTTAGAGACATTCCATAAGAAAATAATATACTTTTCTTAGAGAGAATTCATTCCATGATTTTCTAGATCACATCATCACAAAGAATCATTTGAATTAAGGGCACCTTTATTGGTGGTCCCTTAGAATTGTCTATTAGCGGGAAAGTCCCTTAGGGTGTTATTGGTTAGTGTATTTTGACTGAGTTAGAAATCTGTGTAGAATTTATAAAATCTTAGAAAAATATACTGATTTTCAAATCTAATATGTGAATTTTAATAAGTACTTACAAATCCGAAGGTTTTCCTTCGGATTTTAGTCCTTGTATTTTTAACAAAGAAATCCACACAAATCCACCCAAATTCATTATAAAATCAAATCCATTAATGAATCCGTATGATTGAATAACACCTGATTTGAATTAGAATTTATAAATCATTGAACCAATAACACTTGATTTTAACTTGAATTTTAAAATCATAGAACCAATAACATTAAATTTTGTTTAGATTTATAAATCCATTAAAATACATAAACTAATAACACCCACTTAGTTTTTAACTAAAAACGCTAAGGAACGTCCCTTAAATAAGAGACTTTAGTGATGTCCTTTAGCGATTTTAGTTAAAAGCTAAGGGACAACGCTAAGAGACCACCAATAAAGATGCCCTAAGGGATTTTCTCTAACTAGTGTTAATAAAATCTATAAATATATTTTGGAATGTTAACAAAACTTAAGGAGGAATCAAAATGACTAACCAGTGTCTTAAATCATAACCGGAGATTTTTGTCACTTTATACAGAGCTTGTTTCCATTTCTCAACGTCCTCCACTGATCTCCTAACACAAACTTTCTTAAAGACATGTCCGAACTCTCCTCTCTGCCTCCTTACATTGGATGGTTCAACTTCATAAAAAATGGGAATAACTGTTTGACCCAACTCTTTCCTGCACTTCATGATCTCCACTAACTCGTCAAGAAGCAGCGCTGATGAAGCGTAGTGCTCCGAGATAAGGACAATTGCTATCCTCGATCTTCTTATAGCTTCTATGAGCACAGGACCAAACGACTCCCTGCTGTCCATGAATAGTGTGATTCCTTTTCTTTCAAACTCTTTCTGAAAGTGACTGAAAAAGCCATCTTCCCTGAAGAAACTTGGGAAGACTCGATATTCCCAGTTGTGAGACACGGAAGATGAAAGGGATGGAGGAGATGCAGCAGAATCCATTAGTATGGTAGAGAGAGAAGATGCAAAATCACATGGATTTGGGTGTTATTAGATCATGAAGTAAAGAGGTTTGGTATAACTACCGTTGACTCCACTGAAAGATAGCTTCGTATAGACTCTAGAGATGCGTTACGGGCCTTGGCCCCGCGTCTGAGCCCAACTAAGACTTTTGAAGCTTACGGTGTGCTGTCCAAACCCGTCAGGGATTAATGGGTTGACGTTGATGAAAGACGATATTTCTCTTTTTCTTCTGCTCTAATCTTTCCTTCTTCATCAATAAAACTGTAACCGAGCTTCCAAGGTAACAAAGTCTTTCTTTTAGAGAACGCTAACTTTATCTTTTCCTTTTGTGCACAACGCAAACACAACTCAATAAATCACGATAACGATTTTGATTAGTAGTTTTATTTTGGTAGGTTCTATTGTTTTAACAAAAAATAAAACTTGGAATAACTGACGCCAATATGAGAAATACAAAAAAAAAAACCTTGTATTCAAGAAAACTAAGGTCAGGGTTCATACTATTTCGGGAACAAACCTCCACCTTAATTATTTTATCAGATAAAGTTAAACAAATATTCTTTCTGTTCACTATAATCATTCTTTGTGCACACATATTAAAAACAATTAGTTTTATATATTTTTAATATAAAAATACAATTATCAACTATATTTCAATTAATAGAAAAATAAATTACATAATAACATTAATAAATTATATATTAGAAATCGAAAATAACACTTATTTTTATAACGAAAAAATTATCTATTGTATGGAATATAAAAACAAAGGATGATGAATGATACTTGGCTCTTTAGATAACAATTTACTTTTTTGCTTTAATCATGAACCATGCAAAATGGGGTTGCCTTTATCTTTTCATAGTAAGCTTGTAATTAAATAGAAGGTTGACTACTTAACCACCACGCACAAACACTCAGGTGATGATTGTTTCTTTGGTTTCTAGATTTTGGATTTTGGTTTTTGGTTTTTAGTTTTTGGTTTTTAGATTTTAGATTTTGATTTTTGGTTTTTGATTTTGCAATGGATTTTAGTTTTTGGGAAAACATGAATGGTGAATTTAGATTTTGGTTTCAGTTTTTGGTTTTCACTTTTAAAATAATAAATGAAAAAATTATTAATAGTAAAATATTTATTCTAGAAATGATAAAATATAAAATATTATTATCAGAATACACATAAAATTTTTACATATTTATAAAAACAGCAAATAAAATAGTTTTACGTTTAAACATACACTTAAAAAAAACTAATGTCATAAAATATTATTAAAAGTAAAAATAATTATTAAAGAAAAAAGATTGACTATCACTTCATTAATAGATAAAATATTATTTAACCGTAATAATTTTAATAAAATTAAACTGTATTATAAATATATATTATTTTTTTATTTTGACTGTAGTTAATTTTACTAACAATATAAAATTTATAATTAAAAATTCCCTTAAAATCCTACAAAAATAAATAAAAAATATTTTTATAAGAACAGCTTATGTTGTAGTTTAGAATTTAAATTTAAATGATAGACAAAAAAAATTGTTCATTCTTAATAATTTGGAATATTTATTATTTTGTTACTAATCTCTTTTTATTTATTTATTTATGCTAATATCAGTGCATAAATATAGAAATGTTAATATTTCAATAAAAGACCAAATTAAAAAAAAAATTAAAAAGTCACGTACACCCTAGGAAACTAGGAAATTGTGGTTTTTGGTTTTTGTTAAGAGATAGGTAGTTATTTTCAAAATCTGGTTTCCCTAAATTTTAGGGAATCTATTTTGCAAAAATCTTGATTGGTGAAAAAGTAGTTTTTATAAAATCAAAAACCAAAAACTACTTTAGAAACTACAAAAATCAACCTATCAATAACGATGAGTTTGTTGTCACACCTAAATAAATAATTTTTCTTATGCTTACTCCATTATCAAATCACCAATATGTGATAATTAATTGATTCTATAACTAATTCTTTCTCGGTGGTGAATTGTTCTAGACCAAACTAGACTATACAAGTCTGTAGAATTTAACAAGTGAGAGAATAGAGATGGTTATTCGCTTTTGATCTTATAATAAATCTTCAGATTTCCGTGTTCTATATATAATGTACTAAAGATATTATGCACTTTGAACAAAGATAAAACATCAAAATAAATAATTATGTGCTACAAAAAAATAAATAATTATGTGCTACACTGTAGACAACAAGTCATAAACGCTCAATTATAAGTTCATAGAATATAATTAATTTACGAACACAGTAAATTAATTGTAATTAATTGTTGTAACATTTTGTTTTTGTTGTTGTAACATTAGGTTCAGTCGTCTCTTTTTTTGGCAAAACATACTTTCTTGTCGCCTTGTCGTGCTCTGCTCTTAAATAGTAGTGTATAAAAACTTGCACTGACAATCATCAATGTATGTGGATATTATATACTTTTCTATAGACCACAAAAACACAATGATTTCATTATAGAATGCGATGTGAACCAAAGAGTCATAAACTAGTCAACTTGAAGCGGTTCTTGGAACTTGTGCATGGCAATGCAAGAGCATCCCCATCAGTGAATCTGATGGGGAGAGGTTCATAAGAATAAAAAATAATTTTTTTTTTTTTACTTTTTCAAAAAAAAAATAAAAAAATTTGGCGAATCTCAGCTCACCACGTGGCGAACCCATGACGAACCGGATTCACCACGACGAACCCACGCGCACCGGATTCATCACTGTTCCTCTCGGAAAACGTGTGAACTCCCCCTTAGAACCCCTAATGGGGATGCTCTATGGTGGAGAAAAGAAAACTAATTATTGACATGTTTGTCATCTACTGATAATTACGTCAAAATGATAGGTTAATATACATCCACGTGTAAAGCATATTTAATGTCTTAAGCAATATATGGCCATATGCTTTAAATAACATAAAAATCATTCCTATATAACTCAAATCTTGAACACGTACGAGAGACAAAGACAGAGTAATAATAGTAAACATGTGCAGAGGAGTTGAGGAAGAAGTGAGAAGAAGAGACGACAGAGGATGCCGGAGAATCAGAGCTCCGGTGAGCTGCGATCTCTGCGGTGAGAACGCTGCCGTGTACTGCGAAGCAGACACTGCTTTCCTCTGTAGGAAATGCGATCGATGGGTCCACTCTGCTAATTTTCTTGCTCGGAGACATCTCAGGCGCGTGATCTGTACAACTTGTGGGAGATTAACTCGTTGTTGTCTTGTCGGAGATAATTTCAGTGTAGTCTTACCAGAGTCCAGATATAAAGATGACGGCACAAGGTGAAGAAGATAGTAATAGACTAGTGGTCATCAGCCATCACAATGTCCTCTTTGTTTTTCTTATTTTGTTTTCCTTCATGTAATTAAGATCATAAAGAAAGAAGAATTATCTTTTGGATTCAGACTTTGTATAACCGTGGAAGTCTCAAGTCGATAAGCTATTCCAATCTTCAAAATTATGTGCAGCCTTGGTAGTCAGTTCGAGAAGAGTTTAGCGTTCTACCAGAGACATGTGTGATTTTCATGTTTGTTTCATTTCTTGTCATGTGTTCGATTCCGAGTTTAATTTGGACGAACTGGTTCACTTGTGTGTAGGCGAAACTGCAGCTTTATTAGCACCAACTCGAGAGTTTTATCGCGTTAGATCAAGTATTTTCAAACAGAACTGTTCCAGATAAGAAGGGAAAAACAATTGTGCAAATCCATTGATATCAAATTAACAATGGGTGTAAAAAGGAATACTGAGACATCCAAGAATTACTCGTCAACTTCTGTTCATCTGAACTCTAGTCCACAACAAAAATGTACCATCACTAGGGATACTAAATGCAGGGTTTTCAGTCCAGCTCTATATAATGTAAACTCAGCCTATTTTAATCCGATCCTATTTAACATTGATAGTTTGTACATGAATGAGTTGAATCAGTGTTAACTCAATAATATTATTTAATCCAATCCTATTTAACATCGATAGTTCGTACATAAATTAGTTAAATCAGTGTCAAAAACCTAATTTCCGTCAAAAACCTAACGTTGTTGTGTCCAAAAAAAAATCATTTTGGCATTTTTAGCGAGAAAATTTGATTACGACTTTGACAGGAAAACTGGGTCTGACAAAGAAACACACTTATGCGATTTTGGTAAAAAAAACATGATTTATCGATTTTAGTGGGAAAATTCACTTTTACGAATTTTTTTATGTATGAAAAAATTATGTTTTCTTACGAGAACATTAGTTTTGCATGCAAGGTATTTTTTGCAGATTTAGTAGAAAAACTTATTTTTGCACTTTTAGTAAAAAACTTGAATATGCAATTTTAGTGAATTTATATTTTTTTACGTTTTGATTTGGCGAAAAATCAAAATTTGCAATTTAATGAGAAACTTGATTTTCAATTTTGACAAAAATTGAGTTTTTGGTTGACGAGAAAATTAGATTTTATAGTTTTAGCGATTTTTTTTTTATGTTGGAAAACTCACTTTGCGATTTTTAGCATTAAATTTTTGCTTTTAGTTTATCTTTTTAGAAATATAAAACAAATTGTGTGAGAAAATAGAGAGAATTTGAAAAATAAATGAGTTAAGTTTTAACTAGGTAGTTTCAACTTTCAACCCTGTTAAATCCAAAAGTTAATTATCTGCGACCCATTTTTAATCTAGGCCCAACCTTACGTGACCCAACAAACAACTTAATTACTGTATAAAACACACTTACTATTTCTGGCTAAACCAACCAACAAAACTGGATCCAAACCCTAAAAAAGGAAACCTGTCAACATGACGATGGAGCTTGTGTTCATACCGTCGCCGGGAATCGGTCATCTCAGGTCAATCGTCGAGTTAGCTAAACAACTAGTCAACGGAGACGAACGTCTCTCCATAACCGTTATCATCATCCCACGATCTTCCGGTGGCGACGTGGACGATTCCGCCCAAATCTCCTCCCTCTTCACACCGCCTCAAGATCGTCTCCGTCACGAAACCATCTCCGTCGCAGAACAAAAATCCACCGATCGTCTCCCGACTCAGATCTACATCGACAATCAAAAGCCACAAGTGAGAGATGCAGTCACGAAAATCCTCGATCCAACTCGAGTTGACTCGCCGCCGCAACTCGCCGGGTTCGTCATCGACATGTTTTGTGTCTCGATGATGGATCTAGCTGAGGAATTTGAAGTTCCGACTTATGTGGCGTACACATCTAACGCTACGATCCTTGGAATCTTGCTTCATGTTCAGATGATGCACGACGAGGAGAAGTACGACACTAGCGAGTTGAGTGAAGAATCATCGGTGAAAGAGTTGGAGTTTCCGTGTTTGACACGTCCTTATCCCGTTGAGTGTCTTCCGCTCATGTTCGTTTCGATGGAGTGGTTACCGTTCTTTCTAGCGCAAGCGAGGAAGTTTCGGAAGATGAAAGGTATTTTGGTAAATACAGTTGCTGAGCTTGAGCCTCACGCTTTGGATGTTTTATCACGTGACGGTGATCTCCCGCGAGTTTATCCTATTGGTCCAGTGTTGCATCTCCAAAACGAAGGTGGGGAGGAGTCGGAGGTTTTGTGGTGGCTGGATAAGCAACCGGAGAGATCGGTTGTGTTTCTCTGTTTCGGTAGTTTTGGAGGTTTCAGTGAGGAGCAAACGAGAGAAATCGCTGTGGCGTTAGATCGAAGCGGTCACCGGTTTCTCTGGTCGCTCCGTCGCGCAACGTCGAATGTACTGAAGGAGGGACCCGGAGACTACACGAATCTGGAGGAGGTTCTCCCGGAGGGGTTCTTGAATCGGACGTCGGATAGAGGGAAGGTGATCGGGTGGGCTCCGCAAGTGGCGGTGCTAGCGAAGCCGGCGATTGGTGGATTTGTCACTCATTGTGGATGGAACTCTGTGCTTGAGAGTTTGTGGTTTGGTGTTCCGATGGTGACGTGGCCGCTATACGCGGAGCAGAAGGTGAATGCGTTTGAGATGGTGGAGGAGCTGGGGCTGGCGGTGGAGATACGGAGGTTTATTAAGGGAGATTTGTTTGAGGGAGAGATGGAGATTGTTACGGCGGAGGAGCTAGAGAGAGCGATTAGGAGTGTGATGGAGGAAGATAGTGACGTCAGGAACAGAGTGAAGGAGATGGCTGAGAAGTGTCACGTGGCGTTAATGGACGGTGGATCGTCGAAAACGGCTTTGAGAAAATTTATTCAAGACGTGATCGGGAATGTTGTATCTGAGTTTTAAAGGTATCTGAGTTTTGTACAATCACTGAAAGATACGCTTACTTACTTACCTATGTGTTGTTCTCTACTTCTCTACGTTACATTTCTTGTTTGGCCCTGCCATATATGGTTTACATGTGTATCAAATGTATTAGGGCCGGCCATATATGATTTAAAAGCCATTCATTGACCGATGTTCCAGTGAACAAGATAGATCCGTTGAGGATGGCGATTCTCCTCTCCCGTGTGTTCTGTCTTTCGAGCTGAATTTAGTCTCGTGTTCTTGCTCCCATAACAAAATAAGAACGAGTATTCGATACACTTAGGCAATACCGGTTTCTCCTTTTTCTTCTTCTTCTCTTAGGACCTTCATGACTTGGATCCTTAAGCTTTGATCTAATGACTCGACCCCTTAAATCATGAAAAAGAATCATGGTAAAGTAATTTAATAAAAAAAAAGTATGAACTTATCTTTAACACACCAAACCAAACTAAATGTCATTTAAGAGATGGAGCAGTTTAGGTTGGGAAAGGTAATAAAAAAATAATTTTATTTTCTTACGTTACATAAAAGAGTTTGAAATTTTAAAATCTGATATAATATGTATTTAAGTTTGTAAAACAATGACAAAAAAATGACATATGTTTTGACATATGTCAAAAAGAACCATATATCAAAAATTGGTACAGGATGAGAGTAGTAGTAAAAGGGAGATGAGAAAGAAAATAGGTGAATAGAATTTGGTATGTTTTCATTCTGTACGTGACTACGAGTAACTTGGGTTGAGAATATGTTTGTTTTGACACTATGATTCGTAATTCACTTGTGTGGATCGCTAGATAACGATTATTTGTGCATATATTCCTATGTCGTAATCATGTCTACATACACTTCATTCAACCATGTTTTCTTTTACTTACTAACGATTGTTCCAATGTCCTAGATTAAACATCCGACACAATGACAAATAATAGAACTAGTTGGAAGGAAGTTATTCCATCATGTGTTGGTTTAAAGTCGGTTTACATCCAAAACATAGAACTCTTATACCCACGAATAATAACGCCATATTACATGTACAAAAAGAGAGAAAATAGTTGAAGAAGACGAAAAGCAAATAAATACACATTCACACAGAGACAGAAACTGAGCCTTTCCCTGGGCGGTTATTCTTGGCATGACCCTGCTCTATAAAACACACTTACAAACCAAAAAAAAACAAAAAGAAAGAGCTATCAACAGAAAAAATGACGATGGAGCTTGTGTTCATACCATCGCCGGGAATCGGCCATCTCAGGTCAACCGTCGAGTTAGCTAAAAAAATAGTCAACGGAGCAGAACGTCTTTCCATCACCTTTATCATCATCCCACAATCTTCCAGAGTCTCCACCAATGATTCCTCCCAAGTCTCCTCCCTCTTCACCCCGTCTCAAGACCGTCTCCGTTACGAAACCATCTCCGTCCTAGAACACAAAAACCCCTATCCTTTCCCAGTCCCACCTCAAGTCTTCATCGAACACCAAAAGCCACAAGTGAGAGACACAGTCGCCAAAATCCTCGTCCACTCGCAGCCGCTACTCGTCGGATTCGTCGTCGACATGTTCTGTATCTCGATGATGGACGTAGCTAACGAGTTCGGAGTTCCGACTTATTTAGCCTACACATCGAACGCCACGTTCCTCGCGATCACGCTTCATATCCAGAAGATGTACGACGAGAAGAAGTACGACACGACCGAGTTGGATGAATCAGTCAACGAGCTGGAGTTTCCGTGTTTGACTCGTCCTTATCCCGTTGCATGTCTCCCACGTCTCTTCCTCTCGAAGAGGTGGATACCTTTCTTTCTAGCTCAAGCGAGAAGCTTCCGTAAGATGAAGGGTATTTTGGTAAATACCGTTGCTGACATGGAGCCTCACGCTTTAAAATTTTTATTATCACCTGATGGTGATCTCCCTCGAGTTTATCCTATAGGACCAGTGTTGCACCTCGAAAACGGTTGTGAAAATGAGTCGGAGGTTTTGAGGTGGCTGGATAAGCAACCGGAGAGATCGGTGGTGTTTCTCTGTTTCGGTAGCTTGGGAGGTTTCAGTGAGGAACAAGCTAGAGAAATCGCTGTTGCGTTGGATCGAAGCGGTCACCGGTTTCTCTGGTCGCTCCGTCGCGCTTCGTCAAATGTGCTGACGGAGGGGCTTGGAGACTATACGAATCTGGAGGAGGTTCTTCCGGAGGGGTTCTTGGATCGGACGTTGGATAGAGGGAAGGTGATAGGGTGGGCTCCGCAAGTGGCGGTGTTAGCGAAGCCGGCGATTGGTGGATTCGTGACTCATTGTGGATGGAACTCGGTGCTTGAGAGTTTGTGGTTTGGTGTTCCGATGGTGACGTGGCCGCTCTACTCGGAGCAGAAGGTGAATGCGTTGGAGATGGTTGAGGAGCTGGGATTGGCGGTGGAGATACGGAGGTTTATTAAGGGAGATTTGTTTGAGGGAGAGATGGAGATTGTTACGGCGGGGGAGCTAGAGAGAGCGATTAGGAGTGTGATGGAGGAAGATAGTGACGTCAGGAACAGAGTGAAGGAGATGGCTGGGAAGTGTCACGTGGCGTTAATGGACGGTGGATCGTCGAAAACGGCTTTGAGAAAATTTATTCAAGACGTGATCGATAATGCGGTCGTCTAGGCTAACATGGATGAGCCATCAGCCAGGTTGAGTGAAAGTTTAAAGGAGATACTGAAATAGAGTTATAGTCTTACTAGTATTATGGCCATGCATGGGCAAAATGATATGTCAAAATAAAAGAAGAAAACATTACAACATTGGACTTTTCAAAAAAAAAACATTACAACATTGATTATAAATCTATATGGAATAAATACTACATGCAGTAGAAAACTTGGAAATTTATAATGAATCGAACTATGTGAAACATGGACCAGATGAAAACTTGACCTAAGAGCATCCATAAGACCATGTTTATTGGTAAGACTCACTTAAGGTCCCTTAGTGAATTTTTAACTCTTAAAAATGAGATAAGCAACTTTGTTAAGGGACACTTAGTTATAATGGTTTAATGGTAGTTGCTTCACTTCAGTCCTTGATTCTTCCATTCTCATGATACATACAAATACAAACAATAAAGACAGAAGCAAATAAACCCAAGCTGCATTGTCGCTCACAAACTAATTCCATCCAGACTTCTCCATGTAGTGAACCTTGGGTTCTTGGAGATGTCTATACAGTAGAGAATCAACAACTATAGATGTTTCTGAGAGCAGAACAAGAACATACACTTCCTTAAAAATACAAATCAGTAGAAAAGTCTCAACCTTTTATTAAACAAGAGCCAACCAAAAGTTCCAAACTTTTCATACACAACTAAACAAGAGAACCAAACAGAATCAGCATTTGAAACACAGAGAAAGTGATGTTTCAGAGATCCAATTTCGACCTTTTCAAAGACAACCAAAAGATTACAACTTAAAACCAATTAGACACAAAAGAAAGAAGAGGATGAACAAAAGGTACCCTGCTTTTGCTATTCTTGACCTGCAAAACAATGAGCAGAACAATGAACACAAGAACATGACAGAACAAAGATATATGTTCAATCAATTTAACAGATCAAAGATATATGTTTTACTATATGTTTTCCAAGCATCCATCCATTGATATTTAAATTCTGGTTAACCAAAGCTTTTTGACGAGCACAAGACAGAGACGACAATGGTACGAGCTTATCTGATTCCCAAGAAAACAAAACTTCACTGCATTCTTAAATCTATGGTAAAATAAGAAATCGAACCGTTAATTTTCTCTACTTGTCATTGCGCAACAACGAAGCCGGCGGACAATCAGTCGGAGAAAGGATCTGGAGCGGTGAGCGAGCGCGATAGAGAGAGAAATGGATTCGGTTAACGAATCGCCGTCGAAGAGAACACGTGACGAAGCAATTCCGAGCCGTACGAAACCTTCTTATCGATCCTAGCTCCGGCCGATTCCATCCGTAAGGAGTGAATTTGAGACCATGCTGAGCATGAGAGAAATACACAGAAAGAGGCAAGAAGAGAAATGGAAGATGAAGGTTCGGCAACAGAGACAAAGTGAAGTCATTCTCTGTTTAACACGTGTACGCTAAAAGACGTTCCTTCTGTCCCTTAATGAGAGCACGTCCCTTAGTTTTTTATCTATTTTTCATTTTTTTAAATCCCTAATTACACTAAGGGACTCATTTAAGAGTCACGGATAAACGTGCTCTAATGGTGGATTTCAGTGTGGAGTCCTTAGCCATTAATTAATCTTTTTTTTTTTGAATAGTTAAGAACTTTAAACAAAAAATGCAGTCTAATGGTGAATTCATTTTGGAGTACTTAGGAAAAAAAATTGTTAAAAATGAGAAATTGAAATTGAGAAATCGGAGAATGATGGATGAAACGGTGAAGAGCACCGACGAAAAAGAGATTTCGATTAGAATAGACCGAAATGGAACGAAAAAACGCAGAAGTAAACTTGCCACGTCATTAAGGATTTGATCCTTAAAATCCCTACTCAAGGATTGATCCTTACTAAACCAAGCTTAGATTATATTTTTTTATTCCAAACGTGCTAAGGATTGGGGGCTAAGGATTCATTAAATCAACCATTGCAGCTGTTCTAAGATCAGTAGAGGTTCGTTCTATTTTAATAGGGCGGGGCTTGGGTTTTAACCCATTTGTCCTAATTGAAGTATTCTACACCACGAAATGGAATAAAAGTATATTAAAAAGTGAAATGCTTGTAGAAACAGAAAAAGCCTTCTCCGAATTATTTTGTTAATTATTTCAATGATTAATTACATAAACTAAATATTTATTAATAAACATACTATTAGTTTAAAGATTAAAATTTTAATTAAAAATGAAATTTTTGAAAAAAAAAAAATTATGATCAAGTTGAATATAGTACACAAAAATTATAACATCACAACTAAACAACTTATAAATAATATTTTATATAAGATAGCATGAAAACACACACAAAACTACAACTAAAACTAATAAAATATCACTCAAAATTATTACGTTTTAGTTTCTAAAAATATTCATGTGTGTGTATGTATGTGAATGAGTCATCTATTTTTTTATTTTAGAAAAAAAATATAGCTTAAAATTGCAAAATCTAAAAATAAACTTTTTGGAAATTAATAACTCTATATAATTAATAAATAATAATACTTTTAACATTATTAATTTATATAGTTTTTACTGTGTTAGCCTGAACAATCAGTTGGTGTGCTTTTCCACTAAATTAAGACTCTGTTTTAAATGAGAGAGCAAAAGAAGTCAGATAACCATATACATAATACATTCCGTAACAAAATTTAACCAGCCAAAATCAATACAAAAGAACCAACCCAATTTTAGCCGATGATTACTAACTAGTAACAAGAATCAAGTTATTGTTTTTCTAAATAGATGTCTTCTAACAGTTCATCGAAACATGTTAACTCTATATAAGCAGAGACAGTAGGCCAATACTTCTCATTGTGTCTTAAAGACATTATTAATAACAGAAAATTACAAATACCTTAACAATTAATTAAGAAGATGACTTGCATTGCTTCTGTGTTTAAAGCTTCGTGTCTGTTTGTCTTGTTGGTCGCCGTTGCATGTCGTCCGATCAACAGGCCAAAGGTTTTTAACGTCCAACGCTATGGTGCCAAAGCAGGCGGAAAAATTGATAACGCCAAGGTATATACATAAGATAAGCAATATATATAAACACACAAAAATAAACATTTTATAGAGTTTTTTTTCACTTGTCCAAAATTAGGCGTTCACAAACATATGGAAAAGTGCATGCGCAAGGAAAAGTGGTAACAGTAAAATCTACGTACCCAAAGGAACATTTTATCTTGGTGGTGTAGAGTTCGTAGGGCCATGCACAAATCAGATTGAATTGGCTATCGATGGAACTTTACTGGCTCCTGCAAACCCTAGGGACATTAAGAATGACACATGGATCAACTTCAGGTACATTAACAATCTCATTATCTCAGGTGCCGGTACACTAGACGGCCAAGGAAAAGAGTCTTGGCCACTCAATGACTGCCACAAAAACCCCAATTGTCCTAAGCTAGCTATGGTACCACTTCTTAATCCTTTTAGAAACAAATGTTATTAAAACAAACATATATAGTTTTAAGAAGGCAATATCAACTTAATAATTATATCTTACATTTAAGTCAGCTAGTATTTTACTAAACTTGATTATTCTCACAGACCATGGGATTTGCATTCGTGAACAACTCAAGAATAAATGGGATAACATCGCTCAACAGCAAAATGGGACACTTCAACTTCTTCTCCGTCCATCACTTCAACATCACTGACGTCACTATAACAGCTCCCGGAGATAGCCCCAACACCGACGGGTTAAAGTTTGGGTTCTGTAGCAACATTCACATCTCCAACACACACATTGGTACCGGCGACGACTGTATAGCCATTCTTTCTGGAACCACCAACATGGATATCTCTAATGTCAAATGTGGTCCCGGACATGGGATCAGCGTTGGAAGCTTAGGGAAGAACAAAGACGAGAAGGACGTTAATGGCTTAACCGTAAGAGACACGGTCTTTAACGGCACAAGCGATGGTATTCGGATCAAGACTTGGGAATCTTCAGCTTCAAAGATATTGGTTTCTAACTTTGTGTACGAGAATATTCAGATGATTAACGTTGGAAACCCTATCATCATCGACCAGAAGTATTGTCCTCACCCACCCTGTGAAAAGAAGGTGAATTCTCTAAGCAAGATATAAACTTATATATTTCTTTTTTCTTATATATCATAATTTTTTTTTCAGGGAGAGTCACACGTACAGATTCAAGACCTTAAGTTAAAGAACATATATGGAATCTCGACGAACAAAGTGGCGGTGAATCTACAATGTAGCAAGAGCTTTCCGTGCAAAAACGTTGAGTTATATGACATTAACTTAGAACATAAGGGAGTCACGGGTGGTCCGTCCACTGCGGTATGTGAGAATGTTGATGGTTCTGCACGTGGCAAGATGGTTCCTCAGCATTGTCTGAACTGATTCAATGATCCATGGGAACAATGACCGTGGGTTCTACTGTTTTATATCATACCTAACGATTATGTAGAATCATAAGAGCATCTTCATTCCCCTTTTACAAAAAGGATCTCCATCTTGAGTATCTTTGAATTTATATTATAATTAAGTAATCATATAAAATGAACATCTATCTATATATATTTGAAAAGTGACAAATAATGTTCACTTTTGTTAGTTCAAAAAAGTGAACAGTATCTCCCAAATGTGTAGCAACACTATTCAAATCCTCATTACCTTTTTTTTCATATCCTTAGATAAGGTATTGCTAATGACATGTCATTTTGATACACCACTGCAAACTAGCTAATTATATATGCGGTAATTCAAGAATTGTTGGAAGAAGATACAAATAGTACATATGGTTTCTCTGATCAGAAAATTAAGAGATTGTAACAAAAAACTGAAGGCAACTGACCAAATCAGCCAAAATAGTCCCAGCTAAAGCCGCCCTTTACATACTTGTCCAAAGAAAAAAAAACCTATTGACAATAAGATTAGGAAAGTCAGAGATTAAAAGGCGACCATGGGAGTAAATAACCAACGAGCTGCCTTTTATGATTTATCAGCCTCAATGAATACTCAAACGTAAGAAAAAGAACTGATGAATCACAACAAGTCCAACGAGTATAAAAGTCCTATCATAGGCAGCTCTAAAAAAACTGTCATATCTTATATATGCATTAACGAGAGCCTCACATCAATTCCATCATCTTTATAAACTTTTGGCCTCTCACAATCTCAGCCTCTTGTGGCACCACATTAAAAACATTAGCGCTTCGGAGTATGTTCATCTCTGGCACAAGCTTCAATCGAAACCATTAATTACACAACCACTGCATCGCTGAAACGATGCCCAAAAATTTACAAGGGTTGAAGATGGTAGAGAGTATAACAGAGGAAAATAGAGACTGACACGGACGGTCTTGTGGCAGAGAGAGAGATAAGTAAATTAAAGAAAAACAATTGTAAAATAATATATGAGGCATTTCCAGGATCAAAAAGCAGTGAAAAGAGCAAGATGATCAGGATATACCACAAAATTGATATAGCGTCACAAGCCATTATACCTGAAGGAATTGTCTTATCCCTCAGAATTGGTAATGGACGCCTAAATTAAAAAACTCAAAAACAATTACAACAATATGCTCAGTGGAAGGAGAAGTCGTTTATTAGTAAAGCTCACGGCAAAAACAAACCCTATAATAGAATTCGTACTTGTCCACTGCTCTTCTTACACTCTTCGTGCTTTCATCTCATCATAGCATCAATAACATATTATAATCCAACCAAAACAACACAAACTTGGTATTAAAAAAAAGAGCTTCAGTGTGTGTAACAAAGTCAGATCATTGATCAATAAAAACCTCACTGAAATCCGCTAAGATAATTGTTTTTATCATCATAAGCTCATTATCTAATCAATCTACGCAAACATCAATCCAAAATAAAGCAAAACTAATCAAAATATTTTATATATTCAAGAATGTGAAAGGGAATACTCAGACAGCCAAGGGTTAGTCTTCAACTTCTGGGTGAAGTGCCCAGATCAGAAACTCTAGTCCACAACATTATTGTATCATCACCATATACCCTTCCACACAAGAAACTAAACTTCACAACTCTTTCTAAAAACCCCTAACTAACTAATAATAATACCAAATAATCGAGACAGTAGAGAAAGATGCAATGATTTGCAGAAGAAGAAAAGCATATAAATATACAGAACACTGAAAGATTAGGGTTTCCCTCGGCGGCTGTACTTTATTAATGGGCTTTACTTAGCCCAATTAATCTTTATAGGCCGACCTTACGTGACCCAACAAACAACTTAGTTACTGTATAAAACCAATCAACCAACCAATAAGATAAAGAAATCCAAAACCTTTAAAAAGCAAAGAACTATCAACCAACAAAAATGACGATGGAGCTTGTGTTCATCCCCTCGCCAGGAATCGGCCATCTCAGGTCAACCGTAGAGTTAGCCAAGCAACTAGTCAACGGAGACGAACGTCTTTCCATCACCGTCATCATCATCCCACGATCATCCGGTGGCGACGCAAGTGATTCCGCTCAAATCTCTTCCCTCTTCACCCCGTCTCAACCTCGTCTCCGTCACGAAACCATATCCGTCTCTCCAACTTCGGAACGCCGCCCGACGCAACTCTACATCGACAGCCAAAAGCCACAAGTGAGAGATGCAGTCGCGAGACTCGTCGTCGACTCGCGACTCGCGGGATTCGTCATCGACATGTTTTGTGTCTCGATGATGGATCTAGCTGACGAATTTAAAGTTCCGAGTTACTTGGTGTACACGTCAAACGCCACGTTCCTAGGCGTCACGCTTCATCTCCAGAAGATGTACGACGAGAAGGAGTGGGACACTAGCGAGTTGAGTGAAGAATCAACGGTCAAAGAGTTGGAGTTTCCGTGTTTGACACGTCCTTATCCCGTTGAGTGTCTTCCATACATTTTCCTATCCAAGGAGTGGCTACAGTTATTTCTATCCCAAGCGAGAAAATTCCGAAAAATGAAGGGTGTTTTGGTAAATTCAGTTGCTGAGTTGGAGCCTCACGCTTTGGATGTTTTATCACGTGATGGTGATCTCCCGCGAGTTTATCCTATTGGCCCAGTGTTGCATCTCCAAAACGGATCTCGCGATGACGGTGGGGAGGAGTCGGAGGTTTTGCGGTGGCTTGATAAGCAACCGGAGAGATCGGTGGTGTTCCTCTGCTTCGGTAGCTTGGGAGGATTCAGTGAGGAACAAACTAAAGAAATCGCCGTGGCGTTAGATCGAAGCGGTTATCGTTTTCTCTGGTCGCTCCGTCGCGCATCGCCGAATATATTGACGGAGGCGCCCGGAGACTACGCGAATCTGGAGGAGATTCTACCTGAGGGATTCTTGGATCGGACTTCGGATAGAGGGAAGGTGATCGGGTGGGCTCCGCAAGTGGCGGTGCTAGCGAAGCATGCGATTGGTGGATTCGTGACTCATTGTGGATGGAACTCGATGCTTGAGAGTTTGTGGTTCGGTGTTCCGATGGTGACGTGGCCGTTATACGCGGAGCAGAAGGTGAATGCGTTCGAGATGGTGGAGGAGCTGGGATTGGCGGTGGAGATACGGAGGGCTATTAGGGGAGATTTGTTGGACGGGGAGATGGAGATGGTTAGGGCGGAGGAGCTAGAGAGAGCGATAAGAAGTGTGATGGAGCAAGATAGTGACGTTAGGAACAGAGTGAAGGAGATGGCTGAGAAGTGCCACGTGGCGTTAATGGATGGAGGGTCTTCGAAGGCGGCTTTAAGAAAGTTTATTGAAGACGTTATCTAGAATGTTCTGGTCGTCTAGGTTCATTGGAGGGAAATTTGAAAGGAGATTTGAGTTTTGCATGTTCACTATGAGATGCGTTAACTTTTAGTTTCCTTTGTGTTCTGTATGAGTCGCATCTTGTAAATGGTTTGCATGTGTATCAAATGTTGTATGAAACTTAATTAAGAGCTTTGAATTTTAGTATTTTAACAAAATTTCATTAAAACAGTTCGAATTTAAAAAAAACTTTTAAAACATAATATTTGAAAGATTTTAAGGATAATAAAATTATATTATTAAATTATTAATAGGAATTGTGTAGAAAATGTAACATACAGACATCAAAACTCATACTCTAGAAGCAGATCTCCTATTATGTAACATGTCATTCTAGCAGAAAGTGTGGAAAAAAATGACAAGTTTCACAATATCAATGTAATTTTTATGTGTAAGGGTGGGTAAATTTGCTATTTTAAGCACTTTAGTAATGGTAAACTATGATTACTAAAGCGTTATTGATAGTTGGCGAAAGCAAAGTGGCAACACACACGCTAAATAAACCACACAATAATAGAGTTTATAAACGCACCAAATAAACCAACATAAAACACAGACCATATCACAGAAATGCAAAATCGCAACAATCTATTATATCAGACATATAACTTTTTTTAGATATCAATGACAACTTTCCTCCATACACTGAGATGTTTACTTACTGGGTTGGATTCTTGCTTTAGATCAACACCGGAGGATTTAGGACAGCATAGGCAAGCAAGTCCTGCTCACAGAGAAAAACGGGCATGTCTTGTTCTGGTAACCCAACCCAAGCTTCTACATCTTGACCATCCTTTGAATCCATCAGAACCACGAACACCACGTTATCGTAGATGGTATGTGAAGCAGGTCCCATCCATACTGGATTACCCCATCCGAAATCAACCTCGTAGAAAGGCTTCTTACACCAGCTAGACATTGTGTATAAGTCTATGTCCGGTTTGAAGCACTCCGACATGAAACTTCCCATCACACTCAACAGGTTCTGACTAAGTGTGGTGGTGGTGATGTTAGCAGTATCATTATCACACCCTTGGAGATTTTCTTTTATCATATGGTTGATTTCTTCTTTAGCCTTTCTAAAGTCAACCACCAGTTGCTTGATCTCTAACTCACTCTCTACCCCTCTCTTGAGAAAGAAACAAGTTTGTAAATTCCCCATGGAGTCTTGTGGCAAAACGTTAGAGGGGATCCTAAGCCTCAAGTCCATCGCTTGAGTCATCACCGTTGACTTTGGAGAGACCGAGTTAGACCGTGCGGCCTTTACAGCACATCTCCAAATAAGTGACATGATGGCTTCCACACGTGAAGGTAGTACCACGCTTTCGCTAACGGCCTTGCGTTTAAGCTCAGCGATCTTCGAGGCTTTGAAGACGAGTCTATTGGTTACACACTTTCCTTGAAGCTCGTAAAGATCATCAATACAGGGAGACTTGAAGGATTTATCTGGAGGAGGATATATCGTGGCTCCTGCGAAGTGAGGTGTACATGTTGTAGTAGTCCCTTTTGTTGTACCCGCCCAGCTTTGTACGAAGGTCAACAACGAGGACGCGTCGCAGATCTGGTGAGAGATACCAACAGTGACCGCAACTCCTGATCCTGACCCGAAGAAACTAACCTTGACTCTCAGCAACGGCCACGTCCCAGCAGATTCTCCTTCCTCGTTCTCGGGGAGGAATGCTGCAAGAGAGTCTGTACTGAGGTTTCTCAAGAAATCTGAGAGAAGGAGATTGGTTCGTGCCTCAGTGAAGATGACTCCTTCGTCGTTGCAGCGTATGGAGACGCCTTCTTGTCGTCCAGCTAGAGGATAGAAACGTGACAGAGTCTCGGACAGAGAGGTTTTCAGCCTTTGGGATATGTTCTCTGGCGACTCTTTTTCTCCGGTGATGGATTTGTAGAAAAAGGTTGTTGCCACGTAAATGGCTGGACAGCTGAGATCCAACAAAGAAAGTTGGAGGCGTTCATGAGGTGAAGGTGAAGAAGGCTTGATCACTTCTCTTCCGGTCACTTCTAGCTTTACTTTCATTGTCTTCCTTTGATACCTCGAAGTCAAATTTTAGTTGGAAAGATAGGAAAACAAAAAGTGCTGATTAAAGTTTAAGCGTCGGTGGAAGAAAATGGTGGCTGGGGGAGTTGAAAAGTCCTTACTCCATGCTATTCGCGAGGACTTTTATTGTTTATGTTACTTTACTTTTGGGTTTATTTATATAGATTTTATAATTTCAAAATTTAAGAATATTTATCAGTTAACTGTTTTTCTTCCAAATCTTATAACTTAATCGTGAAATAGTAATAAGATATAATCAGGATATTTGCAAATTTAATCTTTCAGTACTGGTTTAATTTCATTTCTTTATATTATTATTTTTAAAAAATTCTAAATAGGTATACATAAACATATTATAATTTTATATATTATAAAACTAGTATAATATATTATAATATATACTATCATAAATGACAACAGTTTTTCATATATTAAATAGGAGTATTTTACAAAAATGACTCAAAACAAAAAAAAAACAAATCCATATTCTTTTTGAAATTTTTATTTTGCTCTATTCAACCTAGAAATTCAGATTATTTACAAAAAATATTATTATTTTTATTATTTTTTTCTGAAAATTAGTTTTTTTTACTTTATAATCATCATCTTCTTCATTTATTTACAACAATCTTTGTCATCAATATACCAACTACCATGAGCAACCAATTTCAAATTAAATATCAACATCTACATTTTTATATTCTTATTTTAATACACACAAACAATTTCCCTTACACTTCTACACTATTTCATCTCAGATTCCAACTTTTTATTTTAAATTTATAGATTATTAGAGTTATTCAAGTTTATGATTCTTCGTGAAGAACGAGTAGGAAGACTACCCTAGAAGTCTGATCGCATAGTAGATTTTAAATATAATATATAAATTTTATAAAACCTATTTTCATTGGAGAAAAATCGAAATCATGTAATTATAAACATTTGTAAATGATATTAACTAAGATTCAGTAAAATTGTTTTGTTTTCAATATAGATGAATGAATATACATTGAATCATGATATTTCTTAGTTTAGGATTTATATTGTAACATATTTTTATAATTTTGTTTGTGTGTTTAAAGGTTAAATTTGGGAATCTTAACTATTTTAAAAAATGAAATAACTTTGATCTTTATGTATCTAGTTTTGTATATATTAAACATTTAAAAATTAATATTTCAAGTATAATGAAGTAATTTTGAATTATTTAATTAGCTATTTGATTTAAAGTATTAGAAGACTTAGGATCTGACTGATTCTCCTGCCATCATCCGCAAACGCAACTTTTGCGGTTGGTAGCTGTTGTTGGCGTTTTGCAAAAATCATAGAAAATGCTATAAACCGCTTCAAATCGTTCGGAATCTCTAAAATTCAAAAGCTGGTTTCAGCTAGTGTTTGCGGTTGCGGGCGATTGCGGAAGGATAAAAAATATTTTTTTCCAAAAAACTATATAAATATAAAAATAAAATGTTTAACTAAAATTTTAAATTAAAAATAATTAAAATTCTAAAATATTTATATTATAAAATTTCCAAAAAAATATTTTCTATAATCCATTATCATATGAAAGTATTTATAGGATGTGCACAATTGTAGCATATCTCTATAAGTCTCGGAATTAAAATAATAAAGCAAATGTGCATGGAGACGAGTGTGGGTACATTACCGGATACCCGAATGTGCATGGATGTGCACATTTGTGGCGGCTCAATCTGAGAACAGATCTCTCTCGAGGTTTTGTTCTTCTCTTGATATCATCATCCTTTGGTGATAGATCAACAAACGACATCTCTTCCATTCACATACGAGTATGGTTGAGACTTTTCCAATACGTTATTGGCTATGTTCATCTCTGATATCAGATCTTCTCTGCACATTATTGACTTGGTTGGAGCACTCATAGCCCTATGAGTCATAGGTGATTCTGATCTACGATTCTACGTACTTTGCTATGTGTTGTCTCATTGGTGTTGTCACCCTCTTTCTCGGAGCTCCTCTAAACCATTAATTTTATTTTGATCGAGTTAGACATCTCAGAGATTAAACTCCAGCTTGATATCTCGTGTGTGAAAAGGGTTCACTTGAACTCTTCCTGAAGTTTCTGATATTCCTTTGGCTCCAGAGTGGTTTGTTACTTTGCTCGAGATTGGTTACGCTGACCTGTCTTGCTTAAGGATCTGTAAACAAGCATCTTCTCAAATGGTTTCAGCTTTGGACTGGAAGGAATAACATTGCATCTTTGTGCGGGATCACTGAACTCTATTGAGTTTTATCATCAGAGATAATTGATCGGCTAATCCTTTGATTATGCCTCCATTCCTCACCGAAATATCCTAGGGCTTTTGTTACATATTGATTCTTTGTGTTTCTCTGTTTCCGTGTTCTAAGGGCTCCTTTGAGCTCTTTCTCTGGATTGGATAGCGCTTTGCCTTTTGATCGTGTGTTTCTATAAAGAAACTGGATCGTTTAGTATGGACTGAGTTCTTTCAAAGACACATCACGTACACCTTAATTCTCCACCATAAAGTACTCTGTCTTTATGAAAATGGAGGCATATCCTTTTATCTGATTCCCCCTTGGCCTCAGATCTCATCTGCAACTCAACTTACTATCCTTTTCAATGTTTCTCATTTGTAAGCCTTTGCTTATCAGTCTTCTTCATTACCGTTTAGAAGTATGGGGATACTATTTGGTTCTACGTCTAATGACTCTCATCCCACATGAATTACAAGTATCATTTAGAGACGACGTCTTGTTAATATCAACAATATTTCAACGCCTCCAAACTTATTCAAATTTCATTAATATCAACAATACTCCAAAACTAATCCAAACTAATGAAATTAATCGAAGTTAGAACCAGACCAATACCTCCTAATACATGAATGGTTCCTATATCTCTAAAATATGCGGACATAATCAGAACTAAACCAAAAATCTAATGAATATCGAACAGAGAAAATTTAATTTTACTATACATTAAAATATTTTTATTATATATAGAATAACTTTATATATACAAAAACTTATTAATATTACCATTTTTCAAATGAATTAAATAAAATTTCTGAACATATCAAAAGTATTTGGATATTTTTATCTGGAAATTTAAAGCAATCTAAGGTTTTCGAGAATTTTATCTGAAATATCAGAGTTACATAATATTTTACTCGAATTATTCAATAAATTCCCCTCATTACCCGATAAAACGTATAGAAACCAAGTTGTACACTATTTCTTATCCTTATTATCCAAACCGAATAGATATGAGGACTAGATGAACTGATCCAAACCAAATTTGGTTTTTAAATGCAATCTAAAATTCTCTTTTGAACTATCTGATATTCATATTCGAAAAAAAAAATATTCGAAATAACTACTTATCTAAACTGAATCAGTATCCGAAATATCGGAACTTAATAAAGTGCATGTACCAAACCCAATGGTAGTCGAATGTAAATTTATACGCCATATTACCAATGTATTTAATGTCTACCCCATAATTTTCAATGTATTTAATGTCTACCCGAAATGCCGAAATTTAATAAGTGCATGCACCAAACCGATAGTTTAAATAAATGTCTACGCCATTTTACAAAAGTATTTAATATCTATCCCCATAATTTGAAATTTAATCTCTACCCCATAATTTCCTATGAATTTAATGTAGTTAATGTTTAGCCATTACTTCTGGCTAGAATTATCAAAGTTTTATCTAGTCTCTCAGTATGATGCCCGCACCGCACGCCCATCAAGACGGGTAAATATTTTATGTTTATCATCAACTGAACTTTAGTATCTATATATTTTTATCATCTTTTTATATATTTGTAATTGGAAGTCACAATACATCTTTTTTTTATTTCTCAATTGTTTTCCTTTTTCAAAAGGAAACTATCTGAAGATGACAGGTTTAAAAACGTTGTACAATGCCTTGGGTTTCACAAGCTGATTCACTGACAATCTTCTCACTAAGAGCATCCATCTACAGATACAGAAAGAGTTCTATTTCTAAGAACCAGTTTACATTGTTACTGTTGCAGTGCAACTTTGCTGAACACAAATACACAATTAGTACCTGATATATGAAACTCTCAGTGAATGAAAGGACGGGTAAATATCTGAATATCGACTGTGGTTCGCTAATATCCAACTGATGGAACATGAAGTAAGACCTGGACTGTAACATAAGACTATTTCTAAGACAACAGAATTTCAGAATCAAGAGAAAGAGAACACTTTTCATTCATAACTCAAAGAAGTAGTTTATTCTCCCTCTATCTTCATCTACTTCATTTGTCAAGACAGAATGCACTTTTAATGACTAAAGACTTACGAAATCCTCAAGTGTAGAATTTGCTCTTTTCATTGCATCAAGCCCAACCAGTGCCACGACACCTTGATCATTCTGTGACGCGTAAGGAGCATCAACATTATCCATGACACTCCTCCTCACACAACTCTTGTGAGACTCTACTACATAGAAACAAAACTATTAACTGCCATTCACATAATAACTAAAAAGACTAAGACTTTCACGCAGCAAACCGAAGTTTCAGAGAATCAACACTTCTTAGTAGTATCTTATATATTAAAACAGAAGTCATCATTTCACTTTATGTGTGATTTTTTAGTTTGGACCATCTTTATAAATTTTACATATGTTAATTATGATATCTTTTCATATCTTATTTTTATTGGAAATGTAAATAAATATTTGGAAACAGATTCTAACAAAATCTTTTGGAAATCTTTTAAAATCTTTTAAAAATATATTTCGAAAATCAGTTATTTCAAATTTTAATTATCATCAAATAGAAATATTTATGTTAAAATAATATATTATGTTGTCAAAAAGGGGTAACATACTATGTATTACTTGTATACAAATTAATATATCTTAAATTTATATATAAACAACAATATATCATCTAAAATTAATATACATAAACAAATAACCATTTGGTTGACAAAACAAAATAAAAATTATTAAATATTTAAGTATGTGATTAATATTAAAAATATATATACCCATAATAATATAAACAAATATATATAAATGAAATTAAAACCCGCTCG